ACCCACCAGCCACTCCTCGGAAGAAAGGTTGGGCAATCCTACTTCCGTAGTGATACTGCCTTGGAAACCCAAGGAGGGGTCGCTATGAGTCGGGGGCGACTCGACGGCAAACAACAACAACAACAAATTATTAAGCACTTATAAGGAAGGAAGATCAGGCAATCTACTTCTGTAGTGATACTGCCTCGGAAACCCAAGGAGGGGTCACTATGAGTTGGACCCGACTCGACAGCAGTGGGTTTGGTTTGGTTTTGGAAATGCCAAAGTTAAGAAGCCCTGATGGCACAATGGTTAAGCACTTGGCTGCAAACCAGAAGGTTGGTGGTTTGAACCCACCAGCAGCCCCATGGGAGAAAAGACCTGATGATCTGCCCCTGGAAAGCTTACAGCTTAGAAAACCCTATGGGATAGATTCCACTGTCATATAGGCTCACTATGAGTCACAATCTCCTTGAAGGCACCCAACAACACATGCCCAGGGTTGGAGCATTGGTGGATCTGTAATAGAATTCTCTTGCCTTCCATGCAGGAGAGCAGGGTTCAATTCCTGGCCAAAGCACCTCATGTCAAAGCAGCACCCATCTATAAGTAGAGGCTTGCATGCTGCTCTGATGCCAAACAGGACTCAGTGGAGTTTCCAGACTAAGACAGACTAGAAGAAAAGCCTAGCAATCCACTTCTGAACATCAACCAATACAAATTCTATGGTTCACAACAGTCCGATCTGCAATCAATCACGGAGATGGCACAAGACTGGGAAGCATTTTGACACATGGAGTCACCATGAGTTAGGGGACAACTCCATAACAGCTAGTGACAACAAGATGCCCAGCATGGGGCTATCTAGTCTTCTGTTATCTAATGCTCAACATAGGAGCTCTGGTGGCATAGGGCCTAAGGCACTTGACTGCTAACCCACCAGCCACTCCTTGGAAGGAAGACTGGGCAATCTACTTTCATAGAGATATAGCCTCAGAAACCCAAAGAGGCAAAATCAACTTGATGGCAGTAAGGTGGGTTTTTTTGTTCTGTTTTTTGGTTTTTTTTAATGCTCACCACAGCCCAGAGTCACAAGACTGGTTAATGCTAGAAGAAGAACTGGAACTCAGGCTTCCGGAACTTCAAACACTCACTGTCTCCCCTACAGCCTTTAGCTGGCCCATGGTCTCTCAGGTTCAGGGCTCTGAACCATATGAGCCCAGGGAAAACCTAGATGATGGCAGATAGGGATAGAAAGTGCCAATTGCTATGTAATCTTGGGTGAGTCCCTGTTTCCTCTGGGCCTTTAGGGGATGGGGGGGGGGCTGAAAGGTGACTGGATGATATCTCTGGGCTTATCCAGAGCTATCTATCTTAGAGCCTCTGGGCTGGGATGGTATCCTACTAAGACATGTAGGGTGCAGGGCAAGCTTGAAGCCTCTGACCTGCCTCTATCTCATAGTGGCCATCCCTGGAGCCAAGAGAAGCATTCTCAACCTACACTTGGACGTGGTGTAAATCCTCAGGGCAAGTGAGGCCAAGAGGGCCTCCCAGTCTGAAGCAGAGTGAGATCAAGGCCACTAATTTATATCATTTATTTATTATTTTAGAACTTTTCTACCCATGAAAGCATTTTTTTTCAATCATCACACCCACTGTATTGTTGTTGTTGTTATGTGCCATTGAGTCTGACTGGACTCATAGCAACCCCTCCTTGGGTTTCCGAGGCAGTATCACTATGGAAGGAGGTTGCCCAATCTTCTTTCTCAGGAGTATCTGGGGGGTTTGAACCGCCAGCCTTCGGGTTAGCAGTCAAGTGCCTTAGGCACTATGCTACCAGAGCTCCTAAGAGGAGATCAAGGTTCAGGAGCCCAAATGCTATGTCCATGGATTAGAAACAGAGGTTGTTGTTGTTGTTGTTATGTGCCATCGAGTCAAACCTGACTCATAGTGACCCCTCCTTGGGTTTCCGAGGCAGTATCACTACGGAAGTAGGATTGCCCAACCTTCCTTCCGAGGAGTGGCTGGTGGGTTTGAACCGCCAGCCGTCTGGTTAGCAGGCAAGTGTCTTAGCCACTATGCTACCAGGGCTCCCTAGAAACAGAGGAGGGATCAGTAAATCAGGCCTCTGGCTGTCAGTCCTGCCTGCTCTATCCTACACGACACTGTTCCTCAATCTCAGACCAATATTTCCAAGTTGGTAGGAGGGAGGGGATCTGAGGTGGATCGCTTCTGACTGCAGCCAGAGATGTGTCTTGCTCAGAGCCAGGTAGCAAAGAGAAATTGAACTGGGCTTCTCTGGGTCTTAGAATGACCCTTCCAAGGTATCTGCAGAATGAGATGTATGAGAAGTAGCCTGCTCTATCAGGAGATCACAAGCCAGGGACTCACAGGGCTGGATCTGTCATCAGCTGCGGGTCTAGATCTGCTGCCTGGAGAGCCTTTCAAACCTGCCTATCTCTCAGGACCAGCCACAGAGAAGGCCCACAGGGAAGGAGATTGGTGCCAGCGTTATCAGGGAGGGGAGGGGGAAGCTGGTCTGGGTCTCTGGGTCTGAGGACAGTTCCATAGTTTTTCAGTTATGTGCAATTTCACTTAAGCTCTTGGAAAGATAGCAGAGAAGGTACTGAAGTGAGTGAGACCGACCTCTCAAAAAAAGCCGGGAGGAAAACAAGGCCTTAACGCACACTCACATCGTACAGATGTGGAAACTGAAACCCATAGAGAGAAAGAGGCCCACTCAGAGTCCCACAGCTCGTGATTCTGGGAAGCTCTTCTGCAGAGAAGGAATTCTCGAGAGCGGAATGGCCACTCTTCCCATCTCACCCCGCCCCACACACTTCCAGCTGGACCGGGATGCAGGAAGCAGAGTCCAAAAGGAAGGGGTGCTCACCCGTTTCCGAAGGACGCGCGCTGGGGTCGCAGGGCCGACAAGAAGCAAGACGACGGCGATTAGGATCGAAGCCTGCATCAGGAGGGACATAGTGAAGGATGAGTCTCCGCGGGGTTAAGTAGAAGGTCTGCGCCAGTGGCGGCTGTGGCGCCTTTAAAAGCTTGTCAGCATTGGTTATGCAAAACTGTGCATTGGTATGCAAAAAACAGCCCAGCCACTTCCAGCGTCGCCCCAGGGGAGCAGAGAATTCCAGGCCAGAGTGGGACGGATCTCCTCTGGCTCCTCCCCTCAACACTTTGTTATGGAACCCCTCATTTAAGGTGCTTCAAGCCCCTCCTGCTGGGGGCGGGGCCGGAGCTGGGGGGCAGAGAAGGGGCGGGGGCTGAGCTCCGGGGGGCGGGACAGAGTTGAGCCGTAGGGAGGGGCGGAGGTGTTGTTACTTGACTCTCGCAGTGACAGTCACCACCGGAAGGATTTTGAGGAAGTCAAAAATCCAGTGTTTTCACCCATCCCTTCTTGACAAAAATGTCACGCTCCCTGCCAGTAGTACCCTTCCCGATATCCGTGTTGCAAATCATTGTGTTTTAACAACAACTATAGTAAAAACCCAAAAACAAACCTACTGCGACCAATTCGGACTCATAGCGACCCTATGGGACAGAGTAGAACGGCCCCATAGGATTTCCAAGACTGTAAATCTTTACGGAAGCAGGCTACCTCATCCGCGGAGAGGCTGGTGGGTTAGAACCCCACAAAACTAGCAGCTGAATGCTTTAACCATTGAGACACCAGAGCTCCTGTAAGTACAGTAATAGCAACTAACATTTTAGTAAGTGCTTTGAGGTGTTTTGAGGAGCTCTGGTAGCGTAGTGCCTAAGGCACTTGACTGCTAACCAGAAGGCTGGCGGTTCAAACCCACCAGCCACTTCTCATACGGAAGATGGGGCAATCTACTTCCGTAGTGATACCGCTTCGGAAACCCAAGGAGGGCTCGCTATGAGTCGGGTCCGACTCCGACTCGACGGCACATACAACAACAAGAAGCATCGTTAAGCACTTTGTATGCATTAACTCTTTAATTTTAACGAATCTACCAGGTGAATGGGGAGCCCTGGTGGCTCAGTGTTTAAAACGCTTGGCTGCTTACCAAAAGGTCCACAGTTAGAAAGAACCCACCAGCAGCTCCGTGGGAGAAAGACAAGTCAGTCTGCCTCTAAAGATTTAGTCTTGGAAACAGCAGTTCTCTGTCGTAACAGGGTCACTAGGCGGCATCAGAGATCAGGGAATCCATCACCAGTTTATCACGTTGTGGTGGCTTGAGCAATGGTGTGATGCTGGCAGCTATGCCACCGACATTTCACATACTAGCAAGGTAACTCACAATGGACAGGTCTCAGCAGAGCTTCTAGACTAACATAGGCTGAGAAAAAGGCCTGGCAATTTCTTTCCAAAATAAGCCAATGGAAACCTTACAGGTGGCAACAAACACTGTCCATCTCAATTGCTTTGGATATGCCATCAGGAGGGATCAATTGCTGGAGTAGCACCTTCTGCTTGGTGAAGTAGAAGGACAGCAAGGGCAAGGAAGACCCTGGGTGAGATGGATGAACACAGTAATTGCAACAATGGACTCAACATCCCGACAATTGTGAGGATGACACAGGACTGGGCAATGATTCGTTCTGTTCTGCATCAGGTCTACATGAGTTGGAGTTCTCACATCCTCAGCTAACAACCACATGAAGGAACTTTTTTTTTTTT